TTCAGTTGGGGGGGTATCTCTGTCACCCAGGTGGGAGTGCAGTGGAACACTCACAGCTCATTGCAGCCTCCACCTCCTGGGATAAGACGACCCTCTGCCTTTGCCTCCCAAGTAGTTGGGAACACAGGCGCATGCACCATGCCTGGCTGATTTGGTAAAATGTTTTTTGTAGAGACGAGGACTTGCTATGTCACCTCAGCTAGAGACCCGCATTTTTCCTAACAGCGCCAACCCAAACCACAAGGGAGGAACCCTCATGGCCTCATCACCTCTTAGGGCCCCCACTCTCAATACCATTACAATGGCAATTAAACTTCTTTATGAGTTTTGGAGAGGAAAAACCCTCCACCCCAGCAGAGGACATACAGGAGTAACCTGTATTATTTCTTGCAATTGCATGTGGGTCTACAGATCTCAAAATGGAAAAAAAAGATGAGTAAAATAAGCCAGATACACGCCTATGGCACACATCCATGTGGCCCACAGTAATGGCTGCCCTGGGGCAGGGGCTGATAGGAAAGGGCACATGGGAGCTTCGGGAAGGGAGATGTCTCTGTGTGTACATGTGTCGAGACTCACCAGCCCTCCACAAAACTGCCTAACATAAGAAAGACTCAACAAGCAAGCTGGCAAGGAGGAGGAAAGCTGACTCCTCGTCCACATGGGGGGAGACAGCGCCCACTGAGGAAAAGGTCGGCGACTACTGTCAATGCAAACACATCCCTTCCCTCTGACCTGGCCTCTCCACCCTTGGGTGTTTACTCAGGAGAAATGACAATGTATGTCCACAGAATCTTCCCAGAAGCTTCATTCACAACAGCAGAAACAGGCAGCTGCCCCGATGTCTGTCTTCAAGAGACAAGATTAACGGGGGTATGCAGATGGTGGCCACAATGCCCCCATAACAAAGGCGTGAACTGCAGCAGGCACCACAGTGTGGATCACTCAATGGAGCAAGAGCCCCTCACTGCAGAGGACACCTGCCTGACTTCCTGCGGAGAAGTGCCTTTCAGAAAAGAGCCAGCTGCTGTGGAAAAGGCCAAATGGGTGGCTGCTGTGGGCAAGGAGGGGCTGGAGGCCTGAGGGGCTTCCTGAGACAATGTCTACCCCTCTACAGTGTTAGGTACGTGCTTTTTTCAAAACTTCTTTCTTCTATACAAGGGCTGAGAATAAAATATTCTCTTCTCCTAAGACTTAAGTCTTGGAATGGTGGTACCCATAGTCCCAGCTGTTTGGGAGGCTGAAGCAGGAGGATCGCTTTAGCCAAGGAATTCAAGGCTGCAGTGAGCTATGATCGTACCACTACATGCCAGCCTGGGTGATAGATTGAGACCCCGTCTCAAAAAATAAAAATCATTTTTAAAATAAAATATTTAAAAATAAGATATAACAAATCTTTAATGGAAACAAAATGGCCTCCATCAGGGGTCATGATTTATGTTTCCAAATCCTGGCCAGGTCCAGGCACAGGACAGAGCTCAGGGCTGACTGTCCACCCGGGCGTGGGCGAAACCACTCAACAAGCCCACAGCCTCACGGCCTCATCTTAGCAACTCAGAAAAATCTAGTGAAGAGTTTCACAGTTGCCTTGGAAACCCCAGAAATTTTAGACTCTAACAAAAGTATACAGCCAAAATCACTTGTTGGATTCTAAAAACACCTTCTGCTAGACAACTGCATTTAAAGCACTCAGCCCACAGCCTCCAGGAGTGTATGGTTTCTTAATATCTTGATGGACTGATAAAATACAGGCCTCCAGCCCGTCACCTGCCTGGGACCTATGGACATGCTCAGCAAGGTGTCCTGGAGTTGGCAGGGGCCACACTGTACTGACAGCAGACCTGCATGCATCTGTAAACCTCAGAACATGCCCACCAAGCCTCGTCTTCACCAGGGATCAAAGCTTTCCAGGTCTTAGTCGGAGCTGGTGGGAGAATAAACAGTTACCAGCAGGCAGACGGTCACTGTCCCTTGCCTGCTTCCTGTGTACTCTCCGTGTGACAATTTTTCTATCACCGTGGAAACAACATTCTTCCGATTTCATTCAGTTAAACTCCAGTGGTTCCGAGGCTATGCCCCCAGGGGACTTCTAGAAATGTCTGGAGACACGATTGGCTGTCACAAGGGGGGCTCCTGGATCTGGTAGGTGGAGGCCAGGATGCCACTGACACCCTCCAGTGCCCAAGACATCCTGTCACAGAGAACCGTTCAGCTCAAGGGTGAGAAAGTCCAACTGACCAGCATTTACTGAACACCCAGGGTCTGGCCCTGTGCTCGGTGCTGGGAACACACAGCAACAATGAGATAAGTGGTGGTTATGGGAGTCTTTGCTTCACAGACATGGAGCTGCCATCTGGGATGATGAAAATGGTCTGGAAACAGGCAGCCATGGTGGCTGGACACCATGTGCCACAGGGGCCCGCCCACACAGCACTGGCCCCCAGATGACAACAGAGTGGGACATGCCTACCACCCAGTGACACCATAGCCACCATATCGAGTGCCACTACTGTGTGCAGTGTTGACAGTAGCCACAGTGGTGCACAGTCCCATCCTAGGCCTTCACTCTAATCCCCATGGCTCATGGCTCCCCAGGGCGATTCTCATCCTGCTCTGGGCTTGGTGAATGCCCTAGGCAGGTTCAGCTAAGCCACTTTTCACCTGTTGGGCCATGTTGCTCCCACGCCTCTCCCATGTTTAACACACAATGTCCACAATGTCACAGTGGCCCATGGTGTTCAGTAGGGCGGTGACACCTGCTATGAAGTCTGTTCTGTGCAGGAGGCCACACCTTCCGGCTGTGTTACACTCCATGATGTTCACATGACAAAACTGCCTGACATTTCTCAGAAAACGTCCCTCTCAGTCATAAGTGACATATGGCTCAATTTAATGTCAGAGAGTTGTACATTAAAAATGATTAGGATGAGCTGGGCTCGGTGGCTCAGCCTGTAATCCCAGTGCTTTGGGAGGCTGAGGTGAGTGG